TTAGCGAGTGCTAAGTGCATTATCGTCATGATGTTGCACTCTTATTCATAGTAACTGTTCTGCACGAGCCCAGTTTTCAGATAATTGAAGTAAGTAAATAAACGAATCAATGTTTCAACGCGTGATTAAGAAAAACAGCTTCATCAGATAAACACATACAGCACGATACCGTTTCAAAATCTTTGGGGGAACTAAAAGCATTGTTGCCATCTTAAACGCCATAAATCGAAAAGCGAATGTATCCTTAAATTATTCCAAAATAAAAATAAAATTATGGCGCGAGCGAGAAATGTATCCTTCAATTAGAGTACCTGTTAGTTGGCACCGCGCTCTAGAGAACTCTGGAGAAAGGCCAAAAAGCAGCAGGAATACAAATAAACGAATGCCTGATACCCTAAGTGATGTAAGTTTAACTGATTTACGCTTCAGTTCTAACTAGGAATTCCCTCCATTATGGATGTATTTAAATGGTTATAAAAGCAATGGTCAAGTATTGGGTAAAATCCTGAAAGGAATTCTCAACAAAAACCGTGTTATATTAGAAAGGAAGTTGGGATCCCTATGATGATTTCGTACGCCAACCTGACGGAAAATGTTTAAATTTAACAAAACCACAAAATAAACAAACACTTATAAAATGAAGTAAGAGAGCAGTGGAAATCACGTGCAGCCGCGCCGTCTTCGAACTATAATTGCTTTTAGCCTCACAAAGCGTTCGACATTTACTTAAACCTACCGAAAAATTAAGAATCAAACTTTTCTCTCTTGTATTCATTTAGAGGCTCACGAAAGCGTAATATCGTGTTTGTTTTCTTCATAACAAAACAAGCTTGGTCTGGCTTCGCTTCGAGTGGGTCAACATACAAACCAAAACAAACGTGGGTTAAAAGCTTTCTTGCCTCATTGAATTTAAACTGGTGCGTCATATTTTTGTGATTTGATAATGGGTAAAACTGTTACAAGTAGGTCTCAAGTAGATTACTACCCATGGAAAGGCAGAACCGGCCAGATCATGAACCAACTGTAATCGTTTTTCCACGTGAACGCTCTTGTGCTCAAACTGTAATCGATAGTTTCCTGCAAACCGCAGGCCAAGGAAATAAGACCTCACGCATCGGACAAACTGTCAGGATCGTGTCGGCGGGAGCCACAGGATCAAAAAAACCTTTGTGGGAACTTGACTTTTTACTTCGAGACAGAGAAAAGTCAGTTACGGCAGAATATGGAGTCTCACAGTATTCTCCTTTCCACTTATCTCCTTTGTTTTATATGCCGGGTCAGTATAAGTCTGTAATACCCATCCATTCGTCTCTTTGTTATTGTGACTATATTATACATTTTCAACCCTAAAGAGAATTTTAATTCACCGCTGTTTTATGCTGGGTTAGTCTCAGAGGATGCAACATTTGAATCGTGCCCCAAAGATTTTTTTTTTTTTTTTTTAGCGTGAGGCTTCTTAATCCTTTAATGATATTTCACCCAATCCAATGAAATTCTTTTTCTTGCGTGTATGAACAGCAGTGACCTCAACCTCACACCGCTCGCTCCCATATTAGACATTCAGCCTGAATGTAAAAGAATCTACATAACAGCGAAGTAAAACGAAACTGGTAACACTAAAAAACAAAACCACGCAACTTTAAACCAGCTAAACTGGAGAGAGAGAGAGGGAGAGAGAG